ATTTACAGAACAGATGCTTTGCAAAATTTTTTATATATTTTATATATAAATATATATTTTAGAGGAACCAACGTGCAATTGAGAACAAATCATGCAATCACGCCGTCAGCGTCCTGCCGCTGATACCCCGCAAGCAGCGACTGTTGCGACGCCCAAGGACAACAACAACCTGGAGCAAGAGCCGACATCGCCGCTCGACCAGATCGAAGGCGGCAGCAGCAGCAATAGCAACGGTAACAATGCCAACAGCAGCGGCAGCAGCGACTGCGACAAGCCGACCGAGACGGCGACCAGAGATTTTTTGGTCTCCCTATTGGAGTGTCCCGTTTGCTTTGGATATATGATGCCACCGATAATGCAATGCTCGCGAGGCCATCTCATTTGCTCACAGTGCCGGAATAAGCTAAATGTCTGTCCCGTTTGCCGTGTCCCGATGAGCAATATACGCAATCTGGCCATGGAGAAGGTGGGCTCGAAACTGATCTTTCCCTGCAAGCATGCCTGCTATGGCTGCCGTATGCGTCTCTCGTATTCGGACAAGAAGGCGCATGAGGAGGACTGCGAATTTCGTCCATATTTCTGCCCCTATCCCGATGAGAAGTGCGTGTGGCAGGGTGCCCTGAAGGACGTGTACAAGCATTTTGTTAGCACGCATCAGAATGTGATCACCATGGAGGGCACCGACATCATCTTCCTGGCCACCAATGTCAATCAGGTGGGCGCACTCGATTGGACGATGATACAGTCGTGTCACGGCCGCCATTTTCTGCTATCGCTGGAGAAGGTGCAGTTGGGTGAGGGCTGTCAGCAATATTTCGCCGCCTGTCGCATGATCGGGACAATGCGCGATGCGGCTGACTTTGACTATCTGATCTCATTGGAGGCCAACAATCGCACTCTCAAATGGAAGTCCAAGCCGCGTTCCATACGCGAAAGTTTCGTGACCTATACAAATGCCGATTTTCTGGTGCTCAACAAATCAACGGTGGAACTGTTTTCAGAGGATGGAAATTTGGCGTTAAACATCATCATCAAGAGGGCCAACAACAATGACTAGAATAGAGAAGAACTCTGCATATATTGTGTATATATACATATATATATTTATATAACCATTTAATCTGCCATCGGTCCAGTTAAGTCTCAGCAGTCTCTATATATGCATATATGTATACATATGTGTATTTATCTATATTTWTATATATATGTGTATGTATATATATATACATATATCTATTCCTTATGTGCTCGCAAATGTATATAACTCGTAATGCTCCGTGGCCAGATGTCATTTCATATCTACCATGTCTGGGTGGCAAGCAATAACATAAAAAAAAAATAATAATAATAATAGCAAAACAAAACTGGAKAAGCGCTGATAGCAAAGCATATTTATGTATAAATTTCACTTGATCCAAAAACCAGATAATAATAAATATTGGACAAGTTGGAAACCAATAATTGTCAACTGTAACCCAATTCTCTCCCACCGTCTTTTTTTTTTTTTTGTTAACAGAAATTTCGGTAAACAAATTTTGTATATTTTTATTGCACATTTTTTATAATTTATATCAAAACCTGTAAGCATTGTCAATTTTTCAATTTTGCCGCCACAATGCAGTGCCATAAAATATGTTTTTGGTATTTTGTTTGTCTGCGTTTCACTGTGAATGTCAAATTGTGATTAGTCTTATCGATAACTACCTGCTGGCTATCGAAAAACAAGCCAATTTAACTAAAATGCCAAAATAAACGTAAATAAATGCAATAATGGACGAAGTGGATAAAATTATTATGCACCAGCTGCAACAAATCGATGACAGCATCGAGCCCACAGATCAGTTGGCCAATTTCACACCGGAGCAGGTGGTACGTGCCGTTTCTAGCTGCTTGCTGGAAATCGATCCTTCGATGCAGGAACTGCCACGGTTCTTGCCAGGTGGAGCCATGGCGCAACGTTTCAGTGTGGCCACGACGTTGGCTGAGCGTTGCAAGGAGCAAGGCTATCGTGGTGACATTGGCTACCAAATCTTTCTATATCCCAACGCCGTGGAGCTGCGTCGCTTGCTGATGCATTTGATTGAGCGACTGCCGCGTGAGCGACAGCAAATCGATTCGGTTGATAAGTCACATTCCCTAAGTGCCCGGGAGCAGCTGCAGCGGGAAGTGCGCAGACAGTTGTCGGAGCAGTTGAAGGCGCCTTGGGTGCCCCAGTATTGTCGCACTGTTGCCAACAGGCGGAGGCAAGGCTGCAGCTGCCAGTGCATTGAGTTTAAGCCCCATCTGAATCTCAATGTGCCTGGGGCCAATTTTTTAGAGCGCAGCAAGGAAGTGCAACAGTATTTCGAGCAGTTGGCGCCCAATCTCTTCCAACAAGTGGATGGCACCGCTTTCGATCTCATTGCCTCCGTAATGCACAAAAATGATTTGGAGCGCTGCGGCGAGCAGGTGCCAAAGGCTGTGATGGCAGTGCCGGCTAAAGAGGAAGTGGGCGAGGTGCTACCTAGTCCTGGTCCGTTGCCAGCTACTAAGCAGGCGACCAGCAATGCAGAGACGGCTGCAACTCCAGTGCAGAAGCTGACGGATGAAGTGCAGCAGCTGCGCACACAGTCCGAGCTATTGTTAAAGCAGCGCAAGACGTTGACCAACTGCATCGAAGCATTGAAGGCACGCGAATCTGAAGCGGAGCTGGAGCTGGAGCGCCTGCAGGCAGTGGTAAAGTTGCATGAGCGCAGCTGCCTGGTGCTAGCGGAGCCGGAACAGAATGTGGCCAAGCTCGAAGCGCTGCTGCTCGCAACCAAAGCGAAGCGGCAAACCCTGACACAGCAGTGGGAGGAGTATCGTAATCCCCTGCTGAACACTTTGGAGAGCCTTAAGTCAGCGAAGGAAACACAGCAGGTGCAGCGTGTGCGCCTGGAAATTGAGCAGCTGGAGCAGGAGCTGCTGGCCAGAACTCAGTTGCACAACGAGCTTACCCTGCGCAGTGCCACCCAGACGCAGCTGGCGCCGCGCAAGGAATACACTCGACGCATTCACGAATTCATTGGAAACATACGCAAACAGCGTGAGGACATCTTCCGAGTGCTAGACGACACACGACAGCTGCAGAAGCAGCTCAATGTGGTTGTGGCGCAACTGGAGCGTCAATTCAACTACACGGATGACCTGCTCTTTCAGAGCGCCAAGCACGATCTGCATGCGAAGAAGGCATACAAGCTGCTCGCTCAGTTGCATAGCCATTGCAGCGAGCTGGTCGAGTGCGTCTCCAACACGGGCAGCGTGAGCAAGGAGATACGCGAGCTGGAGGTCCAGATCGACAGTGAGAAGATGAAGAATGTGCTCGTCAGTTTGCAGCAAATAACGGGCGACATCCAGAAGTTCGAACAGCATATTCAGGAGCTGCAAACGCAAATACGCACAGTGGAGAATGCAATAACAATCACCTAACTATAACGATAAACGATAAATGATTAACGATATTAGTATATTACCATATTACTTATGTATTAGTGCCAATTAAAACAGATCACTTTCGCATAGCGTAGTTTCTTGTAGCCAATTCTCAATATTTATGCATTTTTTTTGTGTAAAAAGCTAAATAAACGAACCTGATCAGCATATATGTATATAAAGCAACATCCTTAATTTTTCGGTATTTATATATTCATTTGTTTAGCTTTTCGCTATTAGCTTTTTCGCGCTGTGTTTAACATTCGTTTAACCAGTGTGAATGGTCTCTTTGCCGGCTGCGCTCTCTTACTTTTACGCTCTTTTTGAGCATGCGCTCTTTATACCCTACATGAGTAGGTTATTCGATGTGAAATTTGAATATGTTGCATTTACAATATTTGGCATTATGTTCAGATGTATTAAATTAAAAAAATATATGTATATTTTAATATTACAATTTATTAATATTTATTAGAAGACTAATTATACTCTATATTGGCTAATCTCGCATACAAACTTTGTTAGCTTACATGGCAAACATAATTTGCAGCGCATTCACAGTTCGCCTTGCCTGATCCATTTGTTGTTCTCTTGCTTTACTCCCTCTGGCTTTTGAATGTGAAGCGGCAGTTATAACTGCCGGCCCTGGACCCGGCTGTTAGTTGTTGCTCGCCTTTTGAAGTGTTTGAAGCTGCAGCGCGTTGGCGGCTGGTCGCGTCGTGTTTTCGTTTCATTTTTGTTGTTGATTTACTTTCGTTTGTTTTTAATTTAAAGTAAATTTCCAAGCAACAGGCACTTGGCCTGGACCTAAGTGCTCAGGCCTAGTGCTTAAGGGTTTCCCTCTTTTTTTCTTCTCGTTTCATTCTACTTCCAAAATAAAACTTTAATTAAACTAAACAACAAGAGGCAACATATATCAAAATAAACTTTTGTTGTGTTGCTGCTGGGTGCCTCTTGTTGTTGTTGCTGGGTTGTTGATGGTGCCGCTCCAGAACTCGTTTGTGGCCTAGAGTTTTAGGTTCTTTTGCATGCTGCCGCGATAACAAGTTTAACCGGTGTGCGTGTGTGCCGTGTGTGTAATTGTGTGTGACTGTGCTAGCGAGCCTGCCTGTCTGTATGTGTGTGTGCCTATGCTCTCCCTCTGTGCCTGTATGTATGTATGTATGTGTGCGTGTGTGTGCAAGCATTTCGCCTTCAACAAACTGTTGCGCTTGGTCGCTGATGACGTTGCCGGCCCTTTTGCCACTGCTGCAGGCCATAATTACAAAAAAAAGAAAAAAAGAAAACAAAAACCGAAAAGAAACAGCAGCCGCTACAACAAAAAACGACGCTTAACCAATTGACTTCCCAATTAGAATTGCTAAAATTCGTGCTGAAGGTCGTGAGTGCCCAAAACGAATTCGACTCCAATTGGCCGTAAGCCGGCCGGCGTCGGGGTTTCATATCGAATGATTTGTGCACTAAAAATAATTATGAAAACACGGTGAAAAAAGAACTAACGGTACACGTCACACCAGCACTAGCACCCAGGCCATAATTAAAATGTCAATAATATATATATAAAAAGAATAAAAATTGAAAAAAGTGCGGTGAACTTATTACGTTAGCGACATTTTTAACCAACTACGCAATAATTGATACTTGAATACTTGAAGCTAAATAAAAGACGTTAAATATGATAATGCGAAAAAAAATCTAAAAATTATTACAGTTGTCCCTCGTTCAAACTGGAACTACAAGAAAACTCTAATAAGAATTGGGTTTCATAATTAAATATTAAATCAATATTAAGCAATGTTGTACATATCTAAATAATTATCAAATTTTTTAGAAAATATTTTTAAATAATATATTTAAAAAAATTAATAATGAATAAATGTAATATATTTTGCAAATAAGAAAAATTATTATTAATTTTTACATTAAGCAATTAATATTTAACAAAAGTTACATTTAGCGAGCGACTACTGTAAATGTAATAATTCCTCTAACAGCACATAATCGAAACGAATGCCTTGTAGCAGAGTGTAACGAAAAGCAATAATACAAATTAAGCAGCAGCAATAAAAATTAAAATTGCAGTTCAATAAATTGAGTGAAAAATAAAGAAAAAGTGAAAAGTAAAAACGAAATAGAAAATTATTAACAATGACACCATCGCCCACGAAGGAACTCATGAATGCGCCCACAATTTCGCGACGACCGCGCGAGGAATTCGCCGAGAAGGTGAGTCCCACTTCCCTGACTTCTCCGACTTCTGTTGAGTTCTCATTCTCAGTGGCAAGTGCTAAGTGCTGAGTGCTTAGTGCTTAGTCTCGAGTCCTTTGGGATAGTTGCCTTCAATTTAATAGCTGGCTATTTTTAAATGCTGCCAAATGTGTGTGCTTCCTGTGCTTTTTATTGATCGCCCTCAAAGAGCAGATAGCGAACTAACTACAACAAAAAATAGAAGCAATCGAGAATGTAGCAGGTGGGCATAAACGATTGCATAATACTCGTTTATAAAGAACCAATATTTACCATTTTGATATTTTTCAATTGCCTATGCCTGGACAATGGATATATCATTTGACTCGATAGGTAGGTCTTCTTATGGGGTTGCTTATAGATCTATTTGTAGATTAGATTAACTGTTTTCGGCGGATATAGAATTGTAGTAGAATTTGTAAGTGAATAAGTGTAATACTTAAAGAAGATATTTATTATCGGAATATATAGTCGTAAAGTAGTTATCAGATCTAATTTACCACTTTTCAAACTTACGAATGCTCAAATAATCTAAACACATTATCAGACTGTCATAAACAGAAGCTCATAATCCAAATTCTGTAACCCCTAGTCGTTACTTTAAATACTATCAGACATACGAATATGCGAATATCTCAAAGAGAAATCCAATATACTCCTTTACCACACGATGAAATGGCATCGAAAAAAAG